ATTTTTTAATGCAGAGTAATACTCCATTGTGTATAAATGCCACATTTTTTTTATCCATTCGTCTATTGAAGGGCATCTAGGTTGCTTCCACAGTCTTGCTATTGTGAATTGTGCTGCTATGAACATCGATGTAGCAGTATCCCTGTAGCATGCTCTTTTTAGGTTACAGCATTATTTATAATTGCAAAACATTGAAAACAATCTAAATCCCTTTTAGTACACTGGTTAGACATTGCACTGGTATTAGTGAGTGGAATTGGAGAGTAAAATATGAACTCACATATACATGACTATCTCTGGAAAGACACAGGAACTGGTAAGAGGTTGCCTCAGGTGGGAACTGATGGGTCAGAGATAAGGGAGGAAATAAAATATAACTTTTCCAGGAACCTTTTTAAACATGTCAGAACATTTTATATATTTCCTAGTTTAAAAAATCAATTACATGTTATTAAAAATAAACAAAGTTTCAGACACTTCACATTTATTACAAAAAAAAAAAGACCAAGAACTAGGACAATGATTTCCCAAAACAATATTTCTAGTTTTTACAGAGACTAGAGATCAGAGTACAAAAGCCCACCCTACCTGCCAGCACATGTGTCTGTCTTCCCAYAATTTCCAACCACATTCTGATCCTGGGAGAAGAGGGATACTTATTTTATCATTCCAACATAATAATAGTTTTCAAAAGGGACTCCCCTTTTCAACACGTGTGCCTTTCTGAATCTACATTTCTATATGTTGTACTATCATTCCTCTTATAATTTCCATAGTATTTATCCTAACATTCATTAATTGTTTTACCTTGTATCTCATCTGTGTTCAGTTATTGATTCTATATGTTAAGAACATGTATTAAATACATAGCTGAGAAATAATGTTGGTGAATTAAATATAACGTGTTTATGTTTCCTCAGAAAAAAATTCACAAAAATAAAGAGATTTTTTTAAAACGTGGAAACATATGCCAAAAAGATGATGAGAGTAGAGACAACCACATATATATTTTAGGGGATSGAAAACATATAGATGTATAGCATCTTATTTAACAATCTGGAAAATTGAATCCCTAATCGGTGACAGAAAAGCTAAGAAACAATCTAATTAATACTGAAGAATACCCCTTAAAATTAAAAATTTGTAGTGCCAGTTTTCTGTTGGATGTAAAAGCAAAGTAGACTAAAAAGAGGATGACTAGTTGAAAACTTTTAAGTACAGTTAAAACTATACACTACTTAGCAGGGATAAAATGAAATATAGATAACAACATGTATTGACAAGGATATATGTTATATGTAAAAGGATATGCACACTTTGAAAAKCTGATGGGTTCTTAGGAGGGCAAGCATATACCTAGGCAAGAGAAATGGATGTACATGCCCATACAAAAAAATTATACATGAACGTACATGACAACTTTACTAATAATGGCCAAAAACTGGAAACAGCTTAAGTATCCATCAGTAGTAAAATTGATAAAGTTGTCCCATTTACATAATGGAATACTACTCAGGAATAGAAGTAAAAAAAAAAAATCACTGTAAATGCAACAACTTGGATGAATCRCAAAATCATCATGCTGTAAGAAGCAAAGCACAAACTATTAAAAACTGTGTCCCATTTACATGCATTGCAAAATCACATGTGGTCACTGACTGGGGTAACGACTGAAGGAAGATTTGACAGAAAGGGACCTCAGGAATCTTGGTGGGTGGCAGATATATTCTATATGGGTGGAGATTTTGTCATAGGTGACTACGGTCAAAATTCATTAGATGGTGTCCTTTAAATGTGGTTTACTTTATATATAAAAAACAATAAAAACAACAAAAGAGCATTTTGAATTTCTTATGTGGATTGAAATAATGTATTATTAGGTATGGAAAGAGAAGCATTCCCTCCCTATTTTTTAATCTGAATGGTTAAGAAGTTGTGGGGGTGTCTTGGAATGGCTTTATATCAGAAGCAAGGCTGCCACAACTGTAATCCCAGCAGCTTGGAAGGCTGAGGCAGGAGGATTGCTAATTCAAAGCCAGCCTTGGCAACTTAGCAAGACCCTATCTCAAAATTTAAAAATAAAAATAAAAAGGACTGAGGATATGGCTCAGTGGTTGAGTGCTTTGTGGGTTCAATCAAAGAAGAAGTAGGAGAAGGGATGGGGGGGGGAGGAGGAGGAGGAGGAGGGGGAGGAGGAGAAGGAGGAGGAGGAGGAGGAGAAAGGAAAAAAAGGAGGTAGAGAAATGTTGGGCTACATGCAATSTACCACAATCACCATCATATTAGAATTTATATAGAATCTTAAATGTCTGTGCTTTCTCATGTATTTTCCCATTTGATCCTCACAGTTACTCTGTAAGAACATTATCTGTATTTTCCATGTTTTCTAAGAAAACATGAACCCCATCAATGTGCCCACCAGTAATCCCAGCAACTTGAGAGGCTGAAGCTGGAGGATTGCAAATTTGAGGCCAGCTTGGGCAATTTAGCAACTGTCTCAAAATAAAAAAAAAATTTAAAAAAAAAGGGCTGGGGATGTGGTAGTGTAGCACAGTGGTAGAGCATTGTCTAGGATGTTCTGTTTCAATCCCCAACACCTAAAAATAAAGTAACAGGATCAGAAAGGAAAAGTCACTTACCCCAAATCACAGCCAGTTAGCAGTAGAACAAACTTTTTAATAACGTTCCTCAAAAAGGGAAGGTGATGGACTTTGGTCATAGTTGATCATTTTTTTCCCCATTGTTTGTAGGTTAAAGGTGAAAAAAGAAAAGGGAAAGTGACAAAGAAACCTTAGGTAAAGCTAAATAGCTGTACACTGGGGCTGATAAGATCTGAAACCGGAGATAGTTTTGTTTCTTGTTTGTTTTCTAATGACTAACTATCTAAAATAATTTCACCATACTCCTGCCTAGGGGAAAAAATACAAAGTTCACACACACAAAAAGCTACTTCATTGCAAGTACCAAAGAAAGAATTGGAAAAAAAAAAAGCCCACATATATAAAGCATCATCAATTGAAGGAGATGGAACCAGATGACTAGGCTATAAAAATAATTGCTAGAAATTTTTGAGCTAGTACTCCCAGTATATATGAACATATTTATTTCTAAAAAATAAATGCACTGCTGTACAAATAAATATGCCTTAAAAACAAAATTTTAAACACAAAAATAGTATTTTAATAATTCAACTGTTCATCTTTTGTTGATAATATTCATCACACTTTATTATTTTTGAAATTTTTCATTTGATTTTAATGGCATAGATACAATACTACACAAAAAACATCATGCAGAATTCATGGGGAGACATTTATCATTAAGGACATCAGTTGTAAATCTAGATTTCTCATAATATTTTTAATACTGATGATTAGAGAGAAAAGCTGATCTAGCAACATTTATTCAGTCAGCAGCACAGCCCAGGACCTACCTTCAACCCCTACGTGGAGCAAAGTATAGAATCCTATTACTCAAGGAATTTTCTGGATTATTGTACACATGTTATTTCTAATTCTTACAATAAACTTTTAAAAATCAGAATTATTGCCCTTATTTACAGAGGAGGAAATTCACGTTTACAACAGTAACTTGCCCAAAGCTACATAATTGTAAGCTCTCTTAACTGGGGCTAGAAATTAGGTTTGTCCCATCCTCATCTGTGCAGTGGGTGATCTGTTTTGTTGTTTTTCTTGACTTCTTCATCTTCAAACAGAAGCCTTTAGTTAGTTGCTTAATTAATGTTTATTTTGTGTTTTATAGCTCACTTCAACCTCAGATGCATCTCAAGAGGATCTGGTGGAGGAAAAGTGCTTACTGAAAAAATACACACATCGCTCCTGCAATAAAGTTTTCTGCCAACCATGGCAGAAGTGCATTGATGGGATCTGTACTTGTAAACTCCCTTATCAATGCCCAAAGAATGGCACCTCCGTGTGTTCGACTAATGGGAAAAGCTACCCGACTTACTGTCATCAAAAGAGTTTTGAATGTCTCCATCCAGCGGCAAAGTTTTTAAATAATGGAACATGCAGAGCTGAAGGTTGGAAAAGCCTAGTTGTCAAGTTATTCTGTGATATGAAGGCACTGTATGCCCTTCTTTTTATTAGAAAACACTTTCCTGTGAAATATTATGACAACTCAAAATTTTCTAGACCTTCCATAGTAATTGAGGGGACTAATTCAGTAGTAGCTGAGCTGCACAGTACTTTAGAGTCATCCCCATTCTTGCTTCTACTTGGTTAAAGGGATTATTCCCAGGGTGGTCCTGTTGGTTCWGAACCCAGTGCAAAACTGATATGTAGTCTAGTCAGTCCTCAGCTCCTCCTTTGGACCTTCAGCCTCAATAATTTCTTCTAATATCTGACCCCCAACCCCATCCAGAATACCACTGGCCCTGATTTTCCAAGGGAGCTTGAGACACGACTGACAAACTTAACAGGCCTACACTCCATCAGGGGCCTAGGGCAATGAGGAGCCTGGACCCCACCATATACACTTGGAGGAGTGTTGAAGATTAGGGATCTCAATGCAGGTGCAGGTGCAGCAGCTCACACTCCTATCCCAGTGATTCAGAGAGAGATAAGAAGATCATTAAGTTCAAGGCCAGCCTTGACAACTTACTAAGATTCTGTCTCAAAATAAAAATAAAAAGGGCTGAGAATGCAGCTAAGTGGTAGAGTACCCCTGAGTTCAGTCCCCGTTTCCCTGGGGGGTGGCAGGGATTAAATAAAGAAAAAAGATTAGAGATCTCACAGTTAATCAGATTGAGTTTCAAATTCCTCCAAGCCCCAGCTCAGTTATTGACAAGCTGTGTGATCTCTCTGGACCCCAGTTCCCTCACTTGTAAAATGTGAATAACAGAAGTTCCTAAGTCACAAGACTTGTGGAAATTAAATAAAATGATGCATGTAAAGCTAACTCTTCAGACAGTGCTTGGTACATAAGTGCTCATTAAATTTTAACTATAACAACAAAACTGAGGCTCATTTCCTTCTGATATCAAGTTATTACTGATACTTCTGAACTTACAAAGGAATTTTAAAATGTTCTTCTTTTTATTTTAAGAGACAGGGTTTCTCTATATTGCCCAGGCTGGCCTTGAACTCTGGGTCTCAAGCAATCCTCCTGCCTCAACTCCCAATAGGTGACAACAAGTGCATCCACTGCACTGGGCAAAACATTATTTTCAAAGGCACTGTGGTGTGCACCAGCTCACAGTGGCGTATATAATTTTGTGGTGCTGAGTTAAGATAGTGAGGTCCTCTGGAAAAGGAGGAAAATATTCCCTGCTTGAGCCCATTTCTATTATCCATTGGAGAGGAAGATGGCAAATAGTCAACCATATTTTATCAGTGTCAGATTTTCTTCTCTTGAGGTATTAAATGCTTTACGTATTTTGAGAATACATAAACCTTTTCTTTACTTTCATTAATTGTCTTCTAAGAGTGTGGACTTCAGAGTAAGAATAAAGCAATTTCTGTGGTATAGCCAATAGCTTAATTTCTCTTAGATTTAGGTTCCTCATATAGAAAAATGGGGGTAAATATGGGCTTAATCTTGTGTGTGTGTGTGTGTGTGTGTGTGTGTGTGTGTGTGTGTGATGCTAGGATACTAGAGATTGAACTCAGAGTCACTTTATCACTAAGCTACATTCACAGCCCTTTTTTAAAATTTTTTATTTTTTATTTTGAAACAAGGACTTACTAAGGTGTCTAGGCTGGCCGTAAACTTGCGATCCTCCCACCTCAGTGCCCAGAATAGCAGAATTTCCAGGTGTGGAATGAAGCCCACACTTGGGCCAATGTGATGATTTAATGATCTTCTGTATAACTGGGTAGTGCAAGCACTGACACATAATAAGCACTCATAAAAATCATTGCTGATTATTTATTAAAATCTTCATTGTGTCCAAAGTCAATTTGAAATTAGGTATTTTAATATTGTAAAGGCTCTTTTTCATTGAAAGGAAAAAGTGGAAGCTTAAATATTGCTCATCCTTTTGGGTTTTTTTTTATTATAGGAAAATTTAGTATTTCCTTAAATTATGGAAGCACAGATTCAAGGGGAATTGTTGAAGTAAAGCTAGTAGACCAAGATGAGAAAATGTTCCTATGTAAAAGCAGCTGGGGCTTAAGAGAAGCCAACGTGGCCTGCCTTGACCTTGGATTTCAGCAGTGAGTATTAGTAGATTTTTCTCAGGGCTGATTTGATTGTTCCAACTATTTGCTTTTTGATGACCTAATCTTTCTGGGCCTTAGTTTCCTTATTTGTAACCTGAGAAGATTAACTACCCACCTCACAGTATTGTGGTGAAGATTAAATGTGCTCACATTTGCCTAGCACTTGGCATCCTGCTGTGAGCACAGAGCACCTTTAGACCTGCTTATCTGGATTGAACCCTTTGGTGAATTTCACASTCATTACTGCCTAATCTCTACTCATCTAGAATTATGACCACTTTTTCTCATCCAATAATGTTCAGGTCTTTTCTCTTTCTTCTTTGATCAACTGTCTGTTTGGTCCTTTTGTAAATGGTCTCTCTCATTTCCTTATTGTCAACTTCATCAATCTTTGCTGTTATCTTTTTTTTAAGTATTTMTTTTTTAGTTATAGTTGGACACAATACCTTTATTTTATTTATTTTATATGTGGTGTTGAGGATCAAACCCAGGGCCTTGCCTGTGCTAGGCGAGCACTCTACCACTGAGCCATAACCCCAGCCCCCTTTGCTGTTATTTTGTACTTTTGTCCCCTTTATGTTTTTTCTAATTTCTTGAGCTGAATATTTAATTCAATCATTTGTTTTCTTGCTTTCCTAATGTAAACATTTAAGGTACAAATTTATCTCTTAGGTAATGTTTTATCTGTATGCCATAAGCTTTCATAAGTGATATTTATTATTTAGTTCAAAGGAAGTTCAATATATTTTCTTTTTTGACCCATATTCAGTTTAGAAGTTTCTTTCTCTCTCTCTTTTTTTTTTTTAACTTTCCAAATATTCATATTAATTTGCTTTTAGTTAACTTTTTGTTCTTGATTTCCTATTAAATTGCATTGTGGTCAGAGAATATCCCTGTATGATGATAATCTTATGTCAACATTTATTTTTATTTTTATTTTTTAGTTGTAGTTGGACAYAACACCTTTATTTTGTTTATTTATTTKTATATGGTGCTGAGAATCGAACCCAGGGCCCCACACGTGCTCTGCGAGCACTCTACTGCTGAGCTATAAACCCCAGCCCCTCAACATTTTTTTTTWAATCTTCCATCTTGCCTCTTGTACTTGGTTTGTAAATTATGCAATCTATTTTTATTTCTTCAGTGGTTAGCTTTGAATTTATACCATAAATCCTTGACTTAGGAATTCCTTACCTTCTTAGGAACCCCATCAAGTTGCCAATATTWAATTCCACCTTATTTTTATATGCACCTGAAGTTAATCACCATCATTATATACTAAGAAATTATTATTATTGTTGCTTAGTTGATGCTCACTCAGATTTACTTCATGTTTATACCAATTTTTTGGTTTGTCCCATCTTATATCTCACATTTCATTCTGGTCTCAATTTTTTTCTTCCTAAATTACACTTTCTAGTTCATTACGGAGAGTCTCTTATTATAAATTGAACCATAGGATACTGCAGATTTAATCTAATGGTAAACTCTCTCAGCTTTGATTCCTCAGTATTTTGTTCTTTTCATGTTTTGTATAAGTTCATGGATAGACTTCTCTGATTCAAGCTAAGGGGGATTTCCCATGCTTCCTTAAGARCTCATTGAGTGCATTTATTATACTTTTGTAGTATTTTTAGATATTTTTAGGTTGTGAGGTTTTTCAGGCTTTTCAGATTATTTGCTTATCAAAGTGTTTGAAATGGCTCTTGTTGTCATGGAGCAATTTCATGACTACTATTATCATTAGGGATCTGAAATAATTAAAATAACCCTCCTTGTTCACTGTGCCTTTCACTCTAATTAGTCTGATGTTTAAATTGCCATTTCTGTTTTATTTTTTATTCCATTTGTCTACTGCATCTTGGCTCACCTTTTAAATATGAACTTATTTTCCTTGTTCATTTCTAAAGAGAAGCAAGGAGCAACTGAATGTCCTGGAAGAAGAGTTCACCTTAAATCGTCTCTAGGATGTTGGGTAACTTAGGCAGCTTCTTCTCTGCATAAATTCTGAACAAATTCAGACATCCCAGCACTGGTATATAGGTGACAGAATACCACCATAATACTGCTGAGGCTGAATTGAGATGTAGCTTAATGTAAAAGCAAATGAATCTGCTAGAATTAAACCAACTTAATTTCTAAATCTTAGGCAGTAAGGGAACCAACCAGGTAAGCCTTGCATAATGTGGCAAGCAAAGAAACACCCAAAAGGAACAAGTGAAAAGCTGAGCTAACCAGGCCTGATTATATTTCTAAAATCCTCCAATCAGAGTAATCTACTTCCTTTCCCACAGAGAAAAATCAAACAAAAGAGAGAGTCCSGGAACAATGCATCTTAAATTGAAAGGAAACATCAGGAGTATTTCTTCCTTTATAAGAAACAGGGAAGAGGAGGCCAATGTTTGCTGAGTGCTTGTCATGTTTTGAACCCTAGCTAATCAGTTTAAATTGATAGTTTAGTTAATTTTTGTAAGACTCGCTGAGGTAGTCATATTCCCTTTCATAGGTAAAGATATTGAGGCTCAGAGAATTTAAGTGTCTTGCCCAGTCTGTAACTCATATGTTAAAAATGAGAGGAAATTWCCCTAGGCCCTTATTTCCTAGTATAAGACTGCATATAAACATACTAATTGTTCTACCATCATGTTTTATTTATTCTRTTTGCAGAGGTGCTTTAAGTATTGAAGAAAGGTTTTATATTCCTGAAAATCTCTACATAAACTCCACTGAATGTCTGCATGTCCATTGTCATGGATTAGAGACCAGTTTGACTGARTGTACTTTTGCCAAAAGGAAAATCAAGCGTTATGAGGGTCTTGCTGGCGTGGTGTGTTACACACAGAATTCAGGTTGGTGGAGTACTTGCCTGATACTTTACAACTTCCTTCAAGATTGTTCATACCGTGCCTAAATAAATAAGTCAATGATTGATACCCAGKCATTGAGGCAAATGATATGGATCGTATCATGTTTGGGGAGAGCCTAAATTGGTGATTTTCTCCTGTCATTCCTTATTCCTGTCAAATATTACTTGCCTCCACTTTCCTATACGGGAAGAAAATTGCCGGACACCTCTTTGTTTCCTTGAACATGTGGATTAAAGTTATGATAGCAACACAAGTCAGTCAAGCAAGAGAAAAAAACAAAATCTCCTTCAAGAATTCCAGCCTACCCATCATTATGTACAACTATAATGCACCAATAAAACTATGGAAAGAGAAATAAAATTCCAGCTTATAGGACATTCCTTTAAAATGTTTAAGTGACCATATCACTACCTCAGTTTCCAGGCAGTCATTGATGCTTTGCTCCTCCATCCTGACATTGGTATATTTTTGCCATTTATGGTATTAAAAACCAAAGCTGTATCCTTTTCAGTGCTAAATAAATATATATAAATAAATACATATATTATATAAACAAATAATAATACTAAATTTATTTTTATATATTTATATAAATATAAATATCCTTCCTCAATAGGACTCTTGAAGTTCAGGAAATAMTACCAAGAATTAACATATGGGATGGCATCAAATTAAAAAGCTTCTTCACAGCAAAGAAAACKATTAGGAACGTGGAGAACCTACAGAGTGGGAGAATTCTACTACAGAATGTCAGCTACACCTCTGACAGGAGATTTAGAATATATAAAGAATCCCAAAAGCGGGGCCGAGGTTGTGCTCAGTGATGTAGCAGTTGCCTACAGTGTGTAGGGCACTGGGTTGCATCCTCAGCACCATGTAAAATAAATAGATGGAGTGAAGGTGTGGTGTCCATCTAGAACTAAAAAAAAAAAAAAAAATTTAAAAACCTTACCACCAAGAAATCAAATAACCTAATCAATAAATGGGTAAATGAACCAGAAAGTTAAAAAAAAAAGAAATACAAATGACCAATAAATATATGAAAAAAATGTTCTACATCTTTAGCATTCAAGGAAATGCAAATTAAAACTACACTGAGATTTCATCTCACTCCAGTTAGAATAGYSGTTAAAATACAAGGATGTGGGAGAAAATACTTTCACACCATTGGTGGGGTTGTGAGTTAGCATAACCACTATAGAAATTCATATGGAGATTCCTCAAAAGACTGGGAATGGAACCACTATATGTCCCAGCTATAACACTCCTCTGWAYTTATCCAAAAGAATTGAAGTCATCATACTACAATGATACATGCATACCCATGTTTATAGCAGTTCAATTCATAATAGCCAAACTATGGAACCAGCCTAGATGACTGTCAACAGATCAATGGATAAATAAACTGTGATATACATACACAATGGAATTTTATTCAGCCTTTAGGAAGAATGAAATTATGTCATTTGCAGAAAATAGATGCAACCTGATAGCATCATGTTAAATGAAATAATCCAGAATTAGAAAGCCAAGGGTTGTATGTTTTGTCATWTGTGGGAAGCTCAAGAAGAAAAAGAAAAAGAAAGGTGGGGGCCATGAAAATAGGAGGGAGGTCAGTAGAGCAGAAGAAGAAGACTGGGGAAGGCAGAGGGATAGGAAACAGGAGGTACTGAAGAATTAAATTGACCCCAAATTATTTTGTGTACATGTACAAATATGTAACAATGGTGTCCAAAATTATGTACTGTTATAAGGCACCAATAAAAAATGAGCTAAAAAATGTAAATGGCACTGCCCATGTGTCCTGGGAGTGGAGGTGGGTTAGTGTAGTAGCAGGAGAGAAATGCAGGAGCACCAGMGCTTGCCATTTCAGCTAGTGCACCTCCTCCTAACACCCCATCTCAAGACTACAGACTTCCACAGTCAACACTGGTTTTCAGAGAGGGCCACTATAAGCCAGCTTTGGCATTTATTTTCCTTATTGGTCATGTATACTAAGTTGATATTACTAATACATTTTATATCTTATTTTCTTTTTTGAGATCTGATTTATCTTAACAACTCCATTATCCTAAAAAGGAGATGAGGATGTTATGCCACAACTCCATAACTAAATTTCACAAAAATGAAATTTACAGATTCTTCAACAGATGAGTCCTTTCAGTGTGTGAATGGGAAATACATTCCTCGGCAGAAAGCCTGCAACGGGATTAATGACTGCGGTGATCAAAGCGATGAGCTGTGCTGTAAAGGTAGACATAAATCTAGCTTTTAAATCCTCTGATTCATTCTTCTGGMTAAAAAGGTAAAAACAATTTTATTGTTGAATTGAAAAGTTGACCTCATTCATTTTATTTTATTTTTTTCATTTTTCTACCTTTGTACTAGGGATCAAAACCAGGGGCACTTTATCACTGAGCTACATCCCAGCCCTTTTTATTTTGTATTTTGAGATCGGGTCTCACTAAATTGCTAAGATTGGCTTCCAACTTGTAATCCTCCTGCCTCAGCCTTCTGAGTTGCTGGGATTATACAGGCATGCACAACCTCATTCAATTTTAAGAAAYGAAGGAATCTCTCCAACTTGTGTTTGTATAGAGTGCCGTGGTGACAGTTTCCTTTGTAAGTCGGGTGTTTGCATTCCAAACAAGTATAAATGCAACGGTGAGTTGGACTGCATTACAGGAGAAGATGAAGTTGGTTGTGAAGGTAATTTAATTTTGTGTTAACTTTTCTTTCATTTCGGAATCCACAGATTCTGAAATTCTTTTTTGGTAACATGTTAACATTACTAAACAGTAAGAACATTAACTATTAATATTAACATATTAATAGTACATCAACATATTAATTAACATATCAATTACCATAATATAATAATTAACACATTAATAACATAATGGTAATGATATTATATTAATTAATTAATAATATTATATTATACAATAGTGACAATATTAGTATTATTAATTAATAATAATATCATAATAATAATCAACATGTTAATTAACATATTAGTAGTACATAATGAATAAAAGTAAGAACATTACTGAATGAGCATTTGAAGATCTACCTCATATTTTTACCTAGTAAATATCTACTTGTCATTTCAGAACATTTTATTATAAAAAAAATCTCACATACACAATAAGGATGGTCTTAAAATGGCTCCCTATGGATGCATCTTTCAGCTCAACCCTGATAGTTTGAAATCTTATTCATCTGTCTTCCAGCTTTTTGTTTGTTGGAGTATTTTAAATTAAATTTCAGATATCATCTCATTTCACCTATTTACATATCTAATAATGAAAACACTATGTATATTAAACCATTCTCTCATTAGTATACCTAAAAATAATGGTTCCCTATCATTTAATAACCTCCATGATTCTCTATCAATATTTAATGACTGCCATATTCAAATTTTCCTACCTCAAAAAATGTCTTTTTCAAATTAATGTGTTCAAATCAGGATCCAAAAGAACATGAATGTTGCATTTGTTTTTGACCTTTTCAAGTGATAACTTTAAGGTCTGCTTTATTCTTTAAGCCACCTATCCCATCTCCTCTCCCAATTTTTTTTCTATACTATTGATTTTTTTTTTTTTTAAGAAGAGCTGGTCATTATGGGATAGTCCTTATTCTGGATTTACAGAGACTTGGTTAAATGCAGGATTTAATATTTTAGGCAAGAATTCTTAGTGCCTTTTGTCTTCTTGTCTATCTTCTAGTAATGCTAAGATCAATCCCTGGATAAGTTTGATGTCTGCATTAAAATGTTCCTCCATAATCTTTCACCTAACGATTTTATCATACTTAGTAATTGTTGCCTACATACACTTTATCAGTAAGGTCTATAAAATGTCAATTTCTAATTTTAACATTCTTCCTATACTTATTTACTGAAATTATACAGGAAAAAATTTTCCTTCATCAACCATTTTATTTTCATAAAATGTAAAACTCATAGAAGAAAAGCAGGATGATTTTTTTATTTCTTTTTTTCCCCACAGCTTTTATTGGTCCATTGTAGTTGTACATAATGATGGGATCTGTTGTTATGAATTTGTACATGTACACAATATAACAGTATAATTTGGCCAATATCCCTCCCCAGCACTCCCCCCTCCCTCCCCACCTCCCACTCCTGTCCCTTTCTTCTTTTGAGAGATCACCTTTCTTCTCTTTTTCCCTCTTAACCTTCCACCCATATATGAGAGAAAACATACACCCTTGACCTTCTGAGCTTGATTTATTTTGCTTAACATAATGGTCTCTAGTTCCCTCCATTTAAAAAAGCAGGATAATTCTTTTTTTTCTGTTTTTTTATTTGTTGTAATTAATTATACATAACAGTAGAATGCATTTTGATACATCAYACATAAATGGAGTATAGCTTGTCTTTCTTCTGGCTGTACCTGATGTAGGGTTACACTGGTCATATAATCATATATGCCCATAGGATAATAATGTTCAATTCATTCTTCTATCATTCCTACACCCATACCCCCTCCCCTACTTTCACTCCCCTCTGTCTAATCCAAAGTACCTCTATTCTTCCCTACCCTCCACTTGTTGTGAATTAACATCCACATATCAGAGAAATCATTTAGCATTTGGTTCTTTGGGATTGGCTTATTTMAAAAAGCAGGATAATTCTTAAACCTCTCCCTTTATTTATCAAGTTTCAAAGTGATGAGTTTGGACAACCTCAGGACAAACTTAGGACAACCTCCAATGATAAAAATATCATATACTTGTTCTGTATGACACAGACTGACTTTTATTCCCATCAATGCTTTCAGGAGAAAAAAAATCTCTTTAATTGACTATATTCATTCACTTACTCAGTGACTATTAAGTTCCTACTCTGTGTACCAGGTCCTATTCTAAATATTAGGGTTACAATAGTGAATGACATTTTAAAAATACCTGCCCCTTTATGCATCTTACCTTCCAGTGGGTGAAGCAAGACAATAAATAAGAGAAAAAGTAAAATAAAAAAGTACTAAGAAGAAAAGTAAAGCAAGGAAGGAGGGTAGAAACTATTGGGGGTAAGTTTTGAAATTTTAGGTAAGGTAGCCTGAGAAGGACTCACTGAAGTTACTGTTAGAAAGAGGGCTGAGGATACAGTTCAGTTGGTAGAGTGCTTGCCTTGCGTGCACAATGCCCCGGGGTTTGAACTCCAGCACCAAAACAAGAAAACCCTATGGAGGAAATTGTGGAGCAGCCTACAGAAGGATGTTCCAGGCACTGCCACTCACAGGACAGTTTTTCCAAGCAGGAACTTTCCTAGGGTGCTTGAGGAATAAGCAGCAAGGTGGCTAGTGTGACAGATGGTMCAGGTGATGGTAGGGAGACATTAAGAGAGATGCTCTAGGAGAGGTGGAGAGGTGGAGTAGAAGGTGTTGAACCGACGAACTACAGCCTGTTAGAGTGGAACAAGGGCTTTGAACAGAGTGAAATGATCTGACTAAATTTTAAATTAAGTTTACTCTGGCTTCTGGCTCTATAAGGAAAAGGGAAGAAATGGGGACCCCATTAGGAAATCATTGCAGAGAAGAGATGAGAGTGACCAGGACAGGAGGGTAGGAACAAAAATAATGAGAAGCAGTCAGATTCTGGATATATTTTAAAGGCTGAGCCAATAGATTTGCCAGTTGATTGGATGAGGGTTCAAGGTAAATGAGCAGTGGAGGGTGGATGCACCCCATTTATGGAACTTATCCATGTTGTTAATGTTTAACAACTGGCTTCAGAAAAGGAGGGGGAGGGGGAAGGGGAGAGGGGGAGGGGAGAGGGGGAGGGAAGAGGGGGAGGAGAGAGGGGGAGGGAAGAGGGGGAGGAGAGAGGGGAAGGGAAGGGAGAGGGGAGCTTTTGTTTCCCTCTCAGTGGTAGAGTGCCTAGTTTTATATAGCTTTTGCCAATTTCTGTGGTATAATTATTCCATCATGAGGGATTTCAAGCTATTGATATGGAACATGAGCCAGGAAACCCTGGCTGGGTACAATGAGTTCTTTAGACTGGCCCAAAGCAGCATCATCACAACACTGAAGCACTTTCCACTGTTTCCTTCTCTCTCTCTCTCTCTCTCTCTCTCTCTCTCTCTCTCTTTTTAACAGTAGACATCTTGAAAATAGAATCTTTTTTTTTCATTGCAAATGTCCCAGAACAATTGTCTTACACATAGAAATTAAGTAGATGTTGAAAATAATGTGTAAATAAATGAATTGATATTAATTACATTTGACATTACTTGGTATGCTAGTATGAGACTTACGGAGATTTTGTTTAGTTTTCCATTGAGATCAGCTCTTAAGTGAAAGAATATTCATGACACAGTGGCACATACCTGTAGTCACAGCAACTGAGGAGGCTGAGGCAGAAGGAATGTAAGTTTGAGGCCAGCCTTGGCAATTTAGCAAGATCCTGTGTCAGAATAAAAAATAAAAATAAATATAAAAATAAATAAAGGGCTGGGGATGTAGCTCAGGGATAGAGTACCTAGGTTCAATCCCCAGTATTAAAAAAGAAAAGAAATATCCTTTTTAGGATTTCAAATCATATGATTTCTTTTAAAGGATATAGAAGCAGTTGGACAGAAGTGCCTTTATGTTTGTTAAGTTCAGTTCAATCCTTAATAGAGAGAGGAAGAAAGAAAATTTTTTCAGGTAGGACAGTGAATCATGAGGCTCTACAGTGTCATCTCCCTTCTTTATCGTGAGAGTAGTTTGGGCTTTTTCTTTCTCTCTTTCTCTTCCTTCCCCTCCCCCTCCTTCAATTTAAAATGCTAAACTCTAAAGTCAAGGGACACAATTTGTTTACTGGGTGTGGGGGGAATCCTCCTGCAAGAAAGTAACTACAATATAAAGCTTATTGTCATATAWATTTCTTGAATCAATATCAAAACTACACTTAGTCSACTGTCATTGTTAGTCAGTCCTTCAGTTTATCCTTTGGGATGAGCTGTGCCTTTTGTAGTTCATTAGGGGTCATAATGTTCCACTCTAAGAAAGAGAAGTGAGAGCAGAGATATAAAATTAATATATACATTGACTTCCACTTCAAGTGGCCAGGTCATAATCACTAAATCAAGGGAGGTTTGGATTATATTTTGATTGCAGTTATCTTTTAAAAGCCCCTCTTTTATTAATATGTTAAAACAATTACAAATKTTATATTAAATGGTAAATTTGCTGTTGAGTATGTGTTCAAATGGATCTTAAATTCTAATCTCTTTTTAAAATTCAAGTTAAAATGATTTCCTTGCTGGGTGAAATTGGGGAGTGTTTAAATGCAAGATGAAAATTTTGTTATTCATTATTAAAACTCAAAGTAAGATGGCATACTGTCTGGCTTTTTTTCTTAATTTTTTATAACTAGGAATTATCAGTTGTTATCCTATTTCTGAAATAATGATTCGAGTATATTTTATTCAAATGAAACTGATGTCTTTGCTATAGTGAGTTTTTTTATTTTGCTTTTAAGAGCTGAACATCCTTYAACACAAGGTAAATCTATTTTTATAGTGAAAATTTATATTACAGATGAATATAAGTTGTTCCTTATACATGTTATAATATATAGAGAGATAGTTATATAATAATATGGTGTGGGGTTTTTTTTCTCAATTAAAAATTATCCTTTGCTATGRTAAATATTTTTTATTTTGCTTTTTGTTTTTCTTCAGGCTTCGTACCCAAGGCTCAAGGTAAAAAAAGTTTATTAAAATTTTGAGATACTAAAAAATTGAAATAAAACTAAGGATCTATTGTGTCATCAGTAATCCAACTTTAACATTAGGGTGGCACAGAGGTTTTGTTCGTTTAGTGTGATAAACTTTCAGTCTCATGGACTGCTCACCAGAAAACCATTCACAGTGGACTTTCCCTGCACATTTCTCCTTTGCCAAACACCTTTTTCTCTTACTCTAATTTTTTCTCAAAACCAAGGCAGTTCTGAAGAAATTGACACCAGAAAAGATTTAATATGTTCATTTACATAAGCAGATGTCCCCAAAGCCTCCAGCTCTTTGGGGCTACCCTTTTCTTAAGTATTCAGATAAAATGACTCAAGCCCCCAGCCCACATAATGCCAAAAGTTCATGGTCCTCCTCAGAAATTCTTAGGATTCCTGGGAGACAAAGTAGCTCAAGATTACCCATTTCTCTGACTATCTATTCTCAATTAGTTCCTTCTATTACTTCTCACTTTTCATTTACCGGTTTTGAAGCTGCTGTTCTTTTTTCCCCCCTAATTCATTCATTTCCTTCTTCCTCCCCATCCTCCTTTCTTTGCCACTTACCTTCCTAGTTTTGGACTTATGATTTGACGATACTCCTCAGCTCATTGAACACGATCATCATTGGTTCCAGCCAGGCCCTCTCTGGCTTTATCCCTGTACCTTACTTCCATTCTCCTCCCCACATAGTCAAACATTTTAATGTGACCTAAAGTGTATGTCATTTAGTTTGTAGCTTTCTTATCTAATGTGCATTGTTATTATGAGCATAACATCCCCCCCCATTTTTTATTAGTGCATTATAGTTGTACATAATGATGGGATTTGTTGTTGCATATTTGCACATGCACACAACATAACAATATAATTTGGCATGAGTATACATTTTTAACTCATATAACATTATGTTATGGATCTCATATTTTCTTTCTTTCTTTCTTTCTTTCTTTCTTTCTTTCTTTCTTTCTTTCTTTCTTTCTTTCTTTCATTCTTCCTTTCTTCTTGAAAGCATTACATTTTAGAGATCTTTCCATGATGCTATGTGTTCATTTAATCTCTTGCTCTTAAATCACTGCATAGAATACTCTGCCATGATATCAGTTTGTAAAATGTGTATAATGTTAGTAGGTGTTTTCTGCAAGGAACAATTGAATTACCTTCTGTAAAATACTTCTCATGGTATATGGAATATGAATTTTTAATTTGTTCAGTTTGGGGCAAGAACATACTTAGATATGTAATAAGAATTGTCAAAATAAAATAACTGAAAAAAATTCTGACATGTTCATCTTTWACAATCTATTACCCATTTGTCTGATAATTCATGGTGAGATTTGTTGAATAGAGATCCTTGGCTTTTATGTTACCAAAGATATAATTATTTTTCTTACATTTTTCCTTTTGAAGTTTTGTGCTGCTTTTCTAATACCCTCAGCTACACTGGACTTTCCCTACCTTCCTTTTGAGACTTATATAATTCATAAGGGTGCTTTTATGAATGCTCCTGAGCAGAGCCTCTCTTTCCCCAGAAAACAACTTAGTTGTGTGGCATAACAGATATATATGTATGCCTGACCCAAAGAGAATGTGGGACATCTAGGGAAAAGAACTGGGATTGCTGCAGGAAAGTCACATTGCTTTCTTGGGCTATGCTGTCATGTCCTCATCCAAAGTGGAGTAATGTGTTAGATGGAATCTGCCATCTGATTCTCAGGCCAAAGAAATAATAATCCTGTGCATGGAATGTTCTAGAATGGCAGGGTGAAGAGGGAAAAATCCTGAATAACTTCAAGCAAAAGTCTAAGGAAGAAAAGAATTTTTTTTTTCCTTTTGACTTCTGCATTCCAGATGCCTAATGCTAGCAATACCTAGTACTAAAACCAATGAGATATATTTGTGTACATTACCCCTGTAAGAAGTGCCTTCTTGCCAGTCACGGTGGCTCACACCTATAATCCCAGCAGCTTGGGAGGCTGAGGCAGAAGAATCTCGAGTTCAAAGCCAGCCTCAGCAGTTTAGTGAGGCCCTAAGCAACTCAGCTAAACCCTATCTCTAAATAAAATATTAAATAAAAGGACTGGGGATGTGGTTCAGTGGTTGAGTGCCTCTGGGTTCAATCTCTGTTACCAAAAAAAAAAAAAAAAAAAAAAGCACCTTATTCACAAAAAGAGAGGAATCTTTTTACACAGTCCTTCTTTTAAGGGAGGACAAATTTTAAGACAAAATTATTATAAAACTTTAAATGATTTTAATGATCTGATTTTCTCTATAAAAATAACTTCAAGCAAAAATAACTTTAAAACAAAACTTTTGTTTTATCATAGATGAAATAGAAATTTTGACTGCAGATATGAATGCTGGTAAGTTAACATTTTTTTTTTTTTTTTTTTACTGGTGGTATAGTGGTTTAAGCTTGTAATTTAATGTTAGTTATTAGCTAGATAATCTTAGGTGAGATACTGAACCTCAAATACAATTGGGAATAATAAAATAATCCCCTGTTTTATAGAGATTTAAAAATGAAATTCATGTAAGACTCAACTTGGAATTGCCAGGCACCAAAATTAATTAACAATATTTTAAACTAACCAATGAGTGAAAGATTTAGATCTCAAAGTCACAGATATTAATCAAGAGGAATTTTCAACAAAGCTCTTTATTTTCTACACATAATAACATTAATTTTCAGATATTTCCCAACCTCACTTCACAGTCCTTAATGGATGAGGTCTCTCTTATTCCAAAAGTCCAAGCAAAAACTTAAGATTTTCACCATCATACTATACCCACTACCTAGATTTTAGGATCAGTAGGACCAGGTCTAGGTTTGGCTCAGAGGTAGAGCACTTGCRTGTGCAAGGCCTTAGGTTTGAGCTCCAGCTCTACAAAAAGAAAAGGAAAAAAAAAAAAAAAGGTAAGACCAAAAAAAAAACTATACACATTCATTTACAACTTCTCTCCCTTCGGGGCCTATCTCCTCTTTGTATGCCCCAAATGTTAAGAGTTGGGGGCTGGGTTTGTGTCTCAGTGGTAGAGCGCTCACCTAGTATGCATGAGGTGCTGGGTTCGATCCTTAGCACCACATAAAAATAAAATAAAGGTATTTTGTCCACCTACAACTAAGAAAAAAAAAAAAATATATATATATATATATATTTTAATTTTGTTTTTTGGGAGGATACTGGRTATTGAACTCAGGGGCACTCAACCACTGAGCCACTTCCCAGCCCTATTTTGTATTTTATTAGAGACAGGGTCTCACTGAGTTGCTTAGTGCCTTGCCATTGCAAAGGCTGGCTTTGAACTCAGGATCCCTCCTGTCTCAGCCTACTGAGCCATTGGGATGATGGGTGTGTGCCATGGCGCCTGGCTTAAAAAAATTTAAAAGAGTTTCCTTTCTCATTTGAGGCTAAGAAACAAGTTTACAAWAATTTCACAACATAGTAAATAGAATAAAGAGAGCATCTTTTACTTTCTTCCTTTGTCGTGATTCTCTTACAAGCTCATGTCTTAAGCCTTGCTCTACCATGTTTCTTTCCTCAGTGACACATGTGGTGTGTCTAATTGATCACAGAGAGAATAGGGAAACATTGTCCAGTGCCAGATGTGGCTTGCTGTCCAGGATTCCCCCAGCATATTATCTTTTAGGGTTAATATAATGAGATGATCGATATACAAAGTGTTCAGTATTGGGCCTGGCATCTACAAAGCATTCAATACTAATATCATAATGTTAACATTATATTATTGAAAAGAGTTCTGTATCATCAGCCTCTAGAAACCAAAAGCCACRAGAGTTAAGATGCAGTTCTCCATGTGGTCAGCTTATTCTGATAATTTCAGAATATGACCCCAAGCTATCACTCTAGTAATGCCTGAACAAGTGGTAACTCTCATCTGCCAGAACCTGGCATATGTTTAACACCYTGACCAGCTTCTTTCTACTAAACATTTAGGAAGAACTTCAGAGAACCAAGCCAATTTTAATATTAAGCCAGAATTTTAAAACAAAGTGAATAGTATAATTTAACATCCAAAATAATTTACTAATGAATCTGCAGTGTTTCTTATTAGATGTGACCTTTYTATTTTTGTGACAGAGACAATAAAGGTAATATCAATCAATATGTCCACAAGGTAATAGATTCAAAATCATAATGATCCAATCTCTTCCTTTCTTGAAGAAAGAAAACGGATAAAGTCATTATTACCTAAACTATCCTGTGGAGTCAAAAGAAACATACACACTAGAAGGAAACGAGTGGTTGGAGGAAGGCTAGCAAGAATGGTAAATCTGCATGAAAAGTTTACTTCCCACAAACAGCCTGGGGGGGAGGGATGGGGAGGGATGTGATTACCACGGACTGGGAATCCTCCAATRGAAATACAGTAGGACAGAACCACCTGTTTGCACCACTATCTGGTAGAATGGCTGTGACCACACAAATGTCTTTTATAGGGAGACTTCCCATGGCAAGTGGCGATTAAAGAAGGCAAAAAAATCAACTGTGGGGGAATTTATATTGGTGGCTGTTGGATTCTGACTGCTGCACATTGTGTCAGGTAAAACAAAGGTCTTCAGTATGTTTTCAATTTCTTGAAACAATGAAAATGAGTAATAGAGATGGTGGTAGATGATAAATAAAAGTATATCAGAGAAATCATTAAGTTTCCTCTATTAACTGTTAAGTGCTTTTTTGTATTTGTGATCAGTACCTCAGAGGTCCATCCCTCAGAACTCACTGTGTTCTCCCCAGATCAAATTGCTGATCCCACCGGCAAGGAYAGATCAAGCCATTAGGTACAAAATTACTTCCACTTGGCTCATTGCATGGTGCTAGGTCCAAATCTCTTGGAAGAGTTTATGTCTAAAAGTTTATAAAGGGGTAATATTAACCAGATGTCTTCTCTAGTCTCACCTCAACAAAGATTAGTTTAAAGAATTGACTTGACTCCTACCAACACACAACATGTGTGAATCCATGTATCCTTAAATATATTTGATGTGTGTTCCTGGCAATAAAGGAACTGTTCGAAGCTCAATGCTAATTATCTCACATACTGCTCCAGCACCAGCTTGCTTGCTCTGTGAGTCTGGATAACTTGTTTACATGGGTCCATGACTCAAAGTTATTTTTGAGGCAAGGCCACTGCACTACTTCACACAGGGGCACCACTCATATTGCATTTTGTTGTTTGGAAGTTCCTTGAGCTGCAGCAGATTCTGACTGATGCATTCTGAGTCACTGAAGACCACCTCCAAAGAGGAGACTTGCTTTCTGAAGAATAAGTAATATTATTTCTCCCTTTGACAGTGTTTTAAAATTCTCAGGTTAGAGAATTGGGGTGGGCATTATGTGAATTCAGAACTGGCATGTGACAATATGTCTCATAACTACCTGCAAATAGGAAACACCAGTTGATGCAGGCCCAAGAAAGCAAGTTATAAACGGCAGTTTGCCAATGCTGCTGTAACAAAATAACATGGAGTAAGTGTCTTCAGAAACAGAGATTTCTTTTCTCACAGTTCTGGGGGCTGGAAGTCTAAAATCCATGTGCCAGCAGGGCTGGTGTCTCCTGAGACCTCTGTCCTTAGCTTGCAGGTGCCCTCTTCTCATTGTGTCTTTATGTGGTCTTTCCTTTGTGCATTTATATCCCTGGTATGTCTCTGTCTTTKTATAAAGACACCATCTTATTGGATTAAGACCCCAGCCTTATAACTTCATTTAACTTAACTTACCTCTTCCAAGACCCTATCTCCAAATAACAGTCATTAGGGCTTAGGACCTCAACATATGAGACAGATACAGTTTAGTCTATAATAATGACTGGATTGCAATACCCAAGAGGTATTGATTAATAAATAAATCAATGTCAACTTGGAGAAGGGCAGAGCTCAGGGTTCTTGCCTCAGTTCTGATAGAATGAATAAAATGTGATTTATTGAGCACYTCTTACAGACCAGGTACGAAGTCAGGTCCTTTCGTATATTTATCTTTTTTAGTATTCTCAACAGTCCCMAAAAGTACATATTATTCTTCCCATTTTATAGATACGTGGACCAAGATTGAGARGTTATGTAATTGCCTAAAGCTACATGACTAGTCAGTTAGCAAAGCCAGGATAATATCAAGTTCAACATGTTTGACAATAACTTAGATGAAGGCCTGCTTAGCAAATCCTTAGGTGACCTAAAGTTGGAAGGGGTAACATGCATGCTGAATGATTAAACATGCTCAAGGAAGGACCTCATAAAAATCTTCATGGATTGGAACAAATATTCTATCTTCCTTCTTAAAGACCCTTTCCTCTTGGCATCTGGGACACAGCACTCTCCTGGGTTTTTTACCAGCTTCTCTGACCACACCTTCTCTGCTGTCTTCGGCAGTAGCTCCTTCTGTGCTTAAGGATCATTACTCAACTGAAGCACTGAAGTTTCATTTAGCCTGATTTCCTCTCTTCTTCTTACTTCTTCTTCCTAAAGTTATCTATAGTTTAAAATACCATTCTGACCAGGTTCTGTGACACACACCTGTAATCCCAGTAACTCAGGAGGCTGAGGCAGAAGGATTGCAAGTTTAAGGCCAGCCTGGGCAACATAGAGCAATCCTGTCTCAGTAAATAAATAAGTAAATAAAATACCACTCTATACAGACCAAATGATAGCCACAGGTTGGGGCTCTCCTCCAACCACTGACCCTKTAGTCACCTGCCTATCCACACTTCTTAGCTACATCAAAAGTATATCAAATTCAAAATGTCCAAGACTAGGCTCATGATGTGCCATTTCCCTAAATATGGTCTTAGGRGTCCTAGTGTTTCCTGTCTCAGCAAACTACACCATTTATCTCGTTACACAGACAGAGATCTTATTTAATTCCCTCAGCTATACACAGCCCAAGCACAATTTCACCAACTCTAGATGGCATTTTAAATTTTTAATTATTTAATTCTCCAAACTTCTTTCCTTCTCCACATTACCCTGCTTTCACCTCTCATGGATTATAGTCTCCTCCTAATTGACTTTCCTGCACTCATTCTGTTCACCCACCACCCCCACCTGTCTGTTCTCTACTACGCAGCAAGGGTAATGTTTCCATACCTGGGTTCAGTCACCTGCTACTTAAATTCAGTGACCCATTGGTTTCCTCGTAGGATAAAAATCTAAAAAAATGACAACATGGCCCATTAGGCCCCAGGTGATTTGGCTGCTCTGTGCCTTTGCCAATCTCATATTGCCTGGCAGCACTACCTCCTCTCTGGCCCACTTGCTCTGGACTCTGAGCACTTCAACAGCACTTKCTCCCTCCTACAAAGGGATCTTTGATATATTGTTTCCCTGGTTTTCCTTGCTCTTTCTACCCAGTTACTGCTAGTCTTGACTCAGATCTCAGGTCAACCTTTACTTCCTTGGAAAAACTTCCCTGACTCCCTTCTTYTTGGTAAGTTCCTAAAAGTCCATGTACTGTCTACTTCTCTCACTTTTTATAGTAGAGTGCCTAGCATTATCAGTGTGCTTATCCATTTAATGTTGCATYTTTCCCTAGATGCTGAGCTCCATGAAAGTAGAAATGGTTCTGATTTTGTCCATTGCTACATAAAGTGCTTGGCACAGTGATGTTTATACAGTAGATACACCCTAAGTATTTGTTGAGTAAATTGAGTGAATAGACAGAGTTAGCCCTTAAGCAATATCCAGGACCTCTTATCCTATAATACAACCAAAATTAACATTGCAGACAGTCTTCTTAGAATACTAGTATAAATAAAAGTTTCCAAACATCTCAGTCTATCCTAGGACACCACTGCTTAACTGTAAGGTGATTACCTGAATCATCATTATAGAAGGATAAATTCTCTTCCGTTTATGCTGTTTGAGAAAGTAGATGACATATGCATAATATATTTTAGAAGATTTTCACTAAAATGTTTAAAATAAGTTTTGTTGCTTATGGGAAATTTATTTTATGAACTACTTATTTTATGGGAACTGTGAGACTATGAGGTCATTATTCAGCACCTTATTTTTAAAAAGTACATCTAAGCTATAATATTTTGCCAAAGTGCTCTCTGTACTCTTCCCTGAGAAAATGATGGTAGGGGACCAGTTTGCTTAACTCATGCATGATTTGATAATTGGTAATGAAAATGGAGTGAGGCATAGTAACAATAATTATTAATAATTAGCTCATTCACTATTTCAGGGGAATTTTTAAATAGCTACCATGTTCCAGGTACAATAATAGCCACCAGGGCTAYAGTTCATCTCTGATTTCAAGCAACACAGTGTAGCAGGAAGAAAAGTGGATAAAGAGATAAATGCAATGCAATATGAGGATGAAGTCTGTCTGCAGGGTGAGGATGGAAACTACTGCAGAGGTGCTCTCCCTGAGAACCTCTGCGTTGGCAGAGTAATAAGAACCTGCAGTCCAGTTTTCCAGTTCCTCAACCACAGTTCTGACAAGATGCTATCTAATCTCTGTTGAGGCACCTACTCCAGTAGCAGATAGCTCAAGTTGTTAGTGAGCTATTTTCCTGGCATTGAGCAGTTGCATGGAATATTCTGCTCTTCATTTGTCATTGACCTAATTCTGCCCTAAGTAAATTTAGTCACAATGCTTCATAACAGCAAGGATATAAGTGGGGGAGGGGAGAGGGAGAGAGGGATGGTTGGAGGGAGGGAGGGAGGGAGAGAGAGAGAGAGAGAGAGAGAGAGAGAATATGAATATATAAAAAAGTCCTTAAGGGCTGGGATTGTGGCTCAGCGGTAGAGTGCTCACCTTATCATGTGTGAGCCCCTGGGTTTGATCCTCAACACCACATAAAAAAATAAATAAATAAAATAAAAGGTATTGTGTCTAACTCAACTAAAAAAAATTAAAAATSCTGAAAAGGGAGAATTTAAAGTAGCAAAATTCCATATTTACATACTTTTTTCAATTTATTTTATTTCCCTTTTCCTTTCTGTTATAGAGCCAGTAAAGCTCATCATTACCAAATATGGACAGCATTGCTTAACTGGATAAGACCTAACTACACTGAGTTAGCAGTTGAAAAGGTGGATAAGATTATTATCCATGAAAACTACAATGGAGCCACCTACCAAAATGACATAGCTTTGATCAAAGTGAAAAAACATGATGACCAAAAAGAATGTGAACTGTCTCATGCCATCCCTGCCTGTGTTCCCTGGTCTCCATATCTATTTCAACCTAAAGATACATGCATCGTTTCTGGCTGGGGTCGAGAAAAAGGTATATGTTTTATGATTAATTAATCAGCATCCAGGGGTTGGAAATGAATGAGAATAGAAATTCAAAGGAGCTAATTTCCTCGTTCTCAGAAAGAAACAGTATCATAACCAGAAAAGTAAGCATCCAGCTAGAGCTGGCTACCTGTGCTTGCCACCTGGCAATTGCCCAGCACCCTGTGCTCAGAAGGTCCCCAGGCATGATTTACTGCTCAGCTGTCACCACTRTGAAATTCTTAATAATTTTTGAAGGGTCTCAGGAGACTGAGACAAAAAAAAAAATTGCAATGTCAAGGTCACCCTGAGCAACTTAGCAAGACCCTGTCTCAAAATTAAAATTTTTAAATGGGCTGAGGGTGTAACTCAGTGGTAGAGTGCTTGCCTAGCATGAGCAAGGCCCTGGATTCAATCCCTAGTTTTTTTTTATGACTGCAGAATAATAATAACAATAATATTTTTTGAAGGGGTCCCATCCCACATTTCCATTTTTCACTAGATCCTGAAAATTACGTAACTAGTCCTTATCCAGATGTTCAAAGGACAAATGTACTCTGTGATCCTGAAGTTAAAAATGAGGGGTGAATATTCAAGGAAAAAATATAGAGATAGGGAGACACACGGCATGGACTTTTTTGATTTGTTGAAGAGGTGTGGGTAGAAGATAAAAAGGTTTACAAAACTGGAATGAAATATTGGTCCACAGAGACTGGAAGGGACAAGGGAAGAGGGAGGATGGAAAGACGTTCAATAAGGGGCACGGAGTCTCTTCTGGTTCTTCTTTAGCACATAGGGTGACTATAGGCTAAAACAACCTAGGATATATTTTAAATGACTAAAAGAAGAGTACCAAATTCCCAACACATAAAAATGGTAAATATTTGAAGAGATGGAAATGCTTATTACCTTGATTTCTTATTACACATTATATACATATATTGAATTACCACCACGTACCCCATAAAGATATATGAATATTATGTCTCAAAAAAATTAAAAAGTAGCCGGGTGTGGTGGCACACATCTGTAATCCTAGTGGCTTGGGAGGCTGAGGCAGGAGGATCACGAGTTCAAAGCCAGCCTCAGCAAAAGTGAAGCGTTAAGCAACTCGGCAAGACCCTGTCTCTAAATAAAATACAAAATAGAACTAGGGATGTGGCTCAGTGGTCTAGTGCCCCTGAGTTCAATCCCTGATACCAGAAAATAAATAAATAAATAGCCAGACATGGTGGCACACATCTGTAATCCTAGCTACTTAAGAGGCTGAAGCAAGAGCATCACAAATTCAAGGCCAGCCTAGGCAATTTACAGTTAGCAAGTCCTTTTCTCAAAATGAAAAATAAAAARGGTCGGGAGGTAGTTCTTCCTTAGCACCCTCAATACTGTGARGAAGGAAAAAGGTAGCCCATAGATAATAGGAAAACCAACTAAGATTTGCAAAGAGATAGTCTCCGTGTTTTGAATCACTCACAAATCACTACATTCCTCCTGTCTCCTTCCCATTCACCATACCCCACTCCTTTACAAAGAGAAAGAACAGATGAATTTCATTCTTTGAACTTCTACGACTTTTGGTGAATACCTCCTATGAATAGGAGATGTGGACACTTGGAAAATAAATGTTAGAAGAACTGCTGAATTAGAAGTTAGATGAGATGAGAATTAAACTACCTAACATGTTTCCCATCATCTGGAAGATTTTTTTTTCATAATATTCTTTTTTTTTTCTAAATATACTCTATTTTATTTTATTTAAAAAAATTTTAAATTTGTTTTAATTAGTTGTATATGTCAGTAAAATGCACTTATGCAGTTTGATATATCATACATAGATGGTATATGATTTCTCATTTTTCTGAGTGTACATGTTGCAGAATCATATTGGTCATGCAGTCACAAATATACATATAGTAACAATGTCTGTTTCATTCTACTGTCTTTCCTATCCCCACACCCCCTCTCCTACCCTCCCATCACTTCCCTCTACCTAATCTAAGGTAACACTATTCTTCCCTAAGGCCCCCCCCCATTGTGAATTAGCATGTGCATATTAGAGAAAACATTTAGCCTTTGGTTTTGTGGAATTGGATTATTTTGCTTAGCATGATATCTCCATCTTCAACCATTTACTAGCAGATGCCATAATTTTACTCTTCTTTAAAGCTCAGTAATATTCCATTATATATATATATATATATATATATATATATATATATATATATATATATATATATATATATMWCATTTTCTTTATCCATTCATCTATTGAGGGACATCTAGGTTGGTTCCATAGTCTAGCTATTGTGAATTGAACTGCTATAAACATTGGTGTGGCTGTACCACTATACTATGCTCATTTTAAGTCCTTTGGGTATAAACCAAGGAGTGGGATAGCTGGTCAAAGGTTGGTTCCATTCCCAATTTTCTGAGGAATCTCCATACTGCTTTCCATAGTGGTTGACCTTAAAATTTATCTTCCCTTTCACCTTTTAACTCTTTGTTGACAGAAATCCTAAATAACTTCATAGCATTGATTTTATAGTCTCATGTTCTAACACATTCTTTAAATAATTCCYGCATTGAAAATTGTAAAATATATGTATAAATTAGGCTGGATTTGTAGTGTGTGTGAATACACAAGACTTATAAAATACTGAATTTTATTAAGGAACTAATTCATCCAGAAGGAACTAGTTCATCCTTATATTTGTTCTATTTTTAAATATCCCATTTATTATATACCTTTAAAAATATACACATTAGTAGAAGTTAAAGTATAATACATCCTTATTATTCATCACCATGTTCCCACAGCTATCAACATTCTGTCATTTGGTTTTTTTGTTTGCTTGTTTGTTTTTGTACTGGGGATTGAACCCTGGGGCACTTTACCACTGAGCTACATCCTAGGACCTTTCATTTTTGTATTTTGGAACAGGGTCTTCTTGCTAAGTTGCTGGCTTAGCAAGGGGGTCTTGCTTGAGACAGGCTTTGAACATTTGTAATCCTCTTGCCTCCACCTCACAAATCACTGGGGTTATTTATAGGCATGCACCACTGCGCCTGGCTGTTTTATCTCCCAATATCCATCAGGGTGAAAAACAGGAGGGTGATGGGCAAAGATTCACTACTCACCTTTGAAACATTATCCTGAGTTCATATGTTTTTCTGATCTTCCCTAGACAGTACTTGGTCCTTCTCCTTCCATAGACCAAAGAAAACTTTCATTTAAATATAAAGGAAATTCTAAATCGGCCTTTCAATCACTTAGGAGATGTATTTCCTCACAGACACACAAAAATGCATATACACTAATAACTCCATATGTATTTTCTTTAAAATTATTCACTCCCACAAGCACTGTAAAGGAAACAGGAAACTATGATAAGGTAGGACATATTTGTGTAAGAAGACACAGCACTAATTCCTATCCAATTCCCCTACTGAACTCTACAACCAATGGGGAAGAAAGTATCTCATTCATCTTTGGGTATCAGCTTTGTATTAAATGAGTGGGATTTCAGGCTGTATATTCAATAATCCTCCTCCACTATCCATCCAAGTGTAGAAAGAAAATTATAGAAACTAGGGATATAAGAAGAGTATGATTAAATATGCTAAAGAATTGTCTTCAAAWTTTTATATATGTATCTGAGATCACTCATGTTCCTAATGGTTTACTAAGTTGGAAGAGTATTTATTTAAACTTTTTATTTGTGATTTCTATTTTTTTTCTCACTCTGTTTAGGTAACCAAAAGGTCTTTTCACTCAAGTGGGGTGAAGTTAACCTAATAGATAACTGCTCTAGATTTTACCCAAATCGCTTCTATGAAAAAGAAATGGAATGTGCAGGTAAGTGCCAAGTTGTTTATCTGAGATACATATCATCTTAGTCTATTTTTTAGTTACTTTAATGAAATACCTGAAGCTGGTTTCTTATAAAGAAAAAAGGTTTATTTAACTCACGTTTTGAAGGCTCAGGGCATGATGTTGACAGTAGCTCTGCTCTGGTGAGGACTTCATGGGGGAGTGGGTCCCAGAATGGCCGGGGGGCATGTTCTGAAGTGATGGAAGGGAGAGATAACACCAAAACTCAGGAAGCCAAAGAGAGGGGGAGAGCTGGGCTTGCTCCTTTCCTAGCAACCCTCTCTGGAGAACTAACTCAGGGTCCCAGGAGAACCCTTCAATCCCTACAGAGGACACTCCCTTCTGCTCACTGACTGAAGGACCTCCCATAGGCCCCACCTCTTAGCATCACCTCACTGAAGACCAACCTCCCAACACATGAACCCTTGGGGAACAAACTCAAAATTTATTGAAAACTGTTAGAAATTCACAAGAGTAAGAAGAAAGTGCCCTCCCATTGTGAAACGGGGTTCAGGATTACAGACAAAAGGATGAGTCACACAAAATCAGCCAGTCCACAGACAAGGGATGAATAGCTGCAAGTTTGAAAGATGAAGGCCAAATCTCCAAGGGCTTACCATACTGAGGAGTCATCAGACACAAGGCAAGTGCCACGCTTAAAAAGATGAGCTCTGGCTGCCTCAAGTCCAGGCTCTGCCACTTGTTTGCTGTGTCACCTTGGACAAGATAGTGACCTCTTCGTGTCTTCTTTGTTTCATCTATAAAGTGGAGGAAATAATGATACTAACCATACTTACTCTGTAGGATTATGTGAGGATTAAAATGATGAATGACTAATACCTATTAAGCACTCAATAAGCACTAAGTGTTTTGTCACGTTCCTTGCGACAAAAACACTCAGGGTCCCTCCAGGGGAACTGGGCTGCACGAAATAACCACACAAGAGACAGAGATACCTTTTTCTTTGGGGTCCTGTGAMGGCTCCTCTGACCTTAAGGGTCCACAGAAAGAGAGAGAGCGGTGCTGACCTCTTTTATTGAGGAGAAGCCATTCAAATGAGGCAGGGGGTCAGGTTTCAGGGGGTTGACTCTAGCTATGTGATGTCTGCTGTCAGCAGAGTGACTGACATCTAGGAAGGCCACACCCAAAGCCAGAGCAAGAGAAAGGGACACACAAAGGGCGTTTCCATGGAACATTCTATCCCAAACAGGGCARAGGGGTAGAATCACAAAGGAACAGGTGAGTGTAGCTCAATCCATGGGGTGACACGCCTAGTCTAAAGATGCGTCCCTCAACCTGYAGGACGGGGCAATGTCCAGGTCACTACAAGATGTAGTGATGGTCAAAGCCTCTCTGCTCTGGGAAGGATAAAGCAAATCATTCAGACTGGCTCCAACTCTGCAAGCCCTGCAGGGACCCCTAGGGAGGGAGAGTCCCTGTTACCACCGCCTTTTAGGAAAGCACAAGAAAACTATGTCCTTCTCTGGTGACGGAAGTAGAGATGTCAGCATGGTGACCTTGACAAACAGGTGGCAATATGCGCTTCTCTCTTTCTCAGGTACATCCGATGGTTCCATTGATGCCTGTAAAGGAGACTCTGGAGGCCCCTTAATCTGTACAGATGTCAATAATGTGACTTACGTTTGGGGCATTGTGAGTTGGGGTGAAAACTGTGGAAAACCAGAGTTCCCAGGTGTTTACACCAAAGTGGCTAATTATTTTGACTGGATTAGYTATCATGTAGGAAGATCTTTTATTTCTCAGTACAATATCTGAAATTGTGATCTCCTGCTCTTTTGGTGATCTTTCTGTCCTTATTCTCTCTAGAGTCTTTTTAATTGAAATGAAACTATATGATTATTACTACTCTAGGGGAAAATGAAGCAAATGTTATTGGATATTTTTAAAGGTCTATTAAAAGTTTATGCCATCTTGGAATGTTGCTGTATAATTCTCAAATAAATATTTTGGTCAAGCATACTAGATTGGTTTGTTTGTTCTTTGGTTTGGGGGAATGAACACAGGAATTTGTGTGTGTTCAGCACCACGGAGCTGCACATTCAGGAAGTTTTATTTATCAGCAAATGTAATTAAATTATCCTTTATGCAAAAGTGATATACCGACAGTAAGAAGTTTAGGTAGTTGAATGACACTGAAGTCACTCACATAAGCCTATTTCCACTACCCGCAGAGTTAGACCCCAGGCAATTTATTACCTTTTTTTTTTTTTTGTATCTCATTTTCCATCTATAAACATGGAATTGTATGAAAATGAAACTACATACTTATGAACAGTGCTTGGCATGGCACTTATTACGGGTTATCACAGGATGATAACTGGCCTCATAGATCTTGACCCATTTCCCTGCTTCTTTTTTTGTTTGTTTTATTGTTTTGATTTTGCCACGCTGGGTGTCAAACCCAGGGCCTTGCATATGCTAGGCAAGCGCTCTGCCACTGCAGTAYGTTCCCCCAGCCCTTTTCTGTTTAATATTAAAATTTCTCAAAGGGCTGGGGGTGTGGCTCAAGCGGTATCGCGCTCGGCTGGCATGCGTGCGGCCCGGTTCGATCCTCAGCACCACATACAAACAAAGATGTTGTGTCTGCCGAAAACTAAAAAAAATAAATATTGAAAAATTCTCTCCTCTCTCACTCTATCTTTAAAAAAAAAAAAAAATTTCTCAAAAAATAATTGTCTTTTCTYCCTCATTTTGCAAGTTCCCCTTGACCCTTTCTCTAGATCTTTCCACAGATACTACAACACAACCCTTGATCTCCATGGTGTCAATCTGTTACCATTCCCTGATCTGACTAGAGGACCTAGGAGAATTTCTACCTGTCCCTAGTCTTGCTTATCCTCGAGGACAGGAGTTTCTCTTCAGCAGGGCTGGCTGAAATAGCTGGATCTCAAATGGCTGCCAGACAACCTCTAATTTCATCTGTATGTTAAATGACAYACCCCAGCACCAGGAAGTTGACAGTTGCCATGATAACAACCAGAAAGAACCATAAATGGAGAAAAAAAAGGATGTGGCACCCAAATTCCTGGAAAATCTCCACCCATTCCTAGAAAATATATGACTATTCCTCCTCTTCATTTCTTTTATCCCATATCTATACCCTCCCCAACCCAAGGTGGGGTTGAGTTTCAAGTGTATCTCCTCCTACTTTTCCTAGCTAAGAATTAAGTACCCTGCGTGGCTCAGTCAGTGCTCCATCTTGGTATTGGTTMCACAATTCAGAAAGGGAAAAAAGGACGGAGCCTTTGGGACCAAAAATTAGTAACAAAACTTCAGAGTCTCTTAACTGTCCTCATCTCAGCAGCATCAGGCTCTCAYCCTGGCTGCTGTTCTCAACCTCCTTCCCAGTCTCTTCCACATTCTCTCATTTTGCCCTTTCCCTGGTGTTTTCTAACCTAGACTCCAATTTAAATCCCAACCTTACAACTTTACACAGGGATGGAGTTGGGAGCAGAGATGCTCTTGAAATGGTTCAAGGAGCTGTGCACCCCGCCCACCAGGTGGGTACACAACTTCTTCACAAAATAATTGATGCATCTGTTTATCCACCAGGATCATCACAGTGTCTGGGATTCAAAAGAATGAATGGATGCATGTTTTAGAAGATGTGACCAAATGTTTTAAAGCCACAGTTGGTAAAAAAAAAAAAAAAAAAAAAAAATTGATGAAAAGGCACTTCAACAATGGAATCAGTTGAGTTCATTTCCTCAAGAAGCTCTCATGAAATGCTTGAAAAATAGGAAAGATGAAATCAAGCAGGCTCTGGTAGGAGACATAGCTGATATTTTCTCTGCACAGCTATAGGATTTGTTTTGGAGATAATATGTATTTTTAGTTGATCTAATTAGTTATAAATGACAG